TGCTGCCTCCCCCTGTCCCCCCCCCCGCCCCGTACGTCTATTGCCATAGCAACGGCACTTGAAATTCCTTCTTTTGACAAAATCCATCTCTGTAGTTATTAATTTTCCAGTTGGACTTTTTTTGTCTTTTAACAAATAAGAATTGTCGAAAAATTGGATCTAAATAGGAGATCTTCCACTTTCTAGAAAACTGTAGGGAGTCACCTTAACGTTCCAAACTTATTTTCCTTTCGAACATGATTTTTAATGTGTTTTGCGTGTTGCGCCAATCCTATAAAACCTTTATATAAATGCCAATATAAGTCAAAACAATGGATGACTGGATGACATGGAAAACATTCGGATTTTCAAAACAATGTAAAGGCGATGGAACATTTCCATGATTAGATCGTGACTGGCTGGTACGAAGAATTGTATGATTTTCAAAACAATCAAAATGCAAGGATCATTCTCAGATCTCTGCATCGTGACTAGATGGCACAATTGTTATGTCAAGTTTTATTACGATATTGTTATTCGCCTTTACGTCAATTTAGGATCAACTTAAAAACTTGCTGTTGTGTGTTTGCATCTAGGTGCTTTCAAAGCGGTAGATATTTGTTACCAATATGGAAACATGCGTGGTGATGAACATGGGTACTGCAAAAAACTTTCACAAAGTACATATATGGCTTGTACAGCTGAGTAAGTTGCTATACTGTTTAATCCGATTAACGAGGAGAGGAAAAGGGGATCGGCAAAAATAGTACTCTTTGCTAATTGTGGATGACCCCGAAGCTATTCATATACAAACGTCACTATATGACATGATAAGAACACTGTGATGTTTTCAGGAACGTTCAGTGTGGTAAATTAATGTGTATTGGTAACAGCACAATAACACCAAAGAATCTTGGCTTTGGTTGGAGAAGTAGTGCTCTTCTAAGTAATGGATTAATCATTTGTCGGTAAGTTTTTATAGCTCTCGTAAGCGGATATTCTCGGGGCTGGGTCATGGTCTTTGCTTACGGGAGGTGTCCAACAACAGCATTTGATAAAGACTATTCTAACGGAAATACAATATCAATGTACAGTATACTGTTCGCGTTCAGGTGGTTAAAATGCTACTTGTGATTTCACTATATAAATCCTTTAATTTATTATCAAATTGCGCGAACTTGAAGTCCAGTCCTTACATATATACAGTAGTCGGATTTGAAATATTACATAATAGATGTTTGGTCGAGACGCAGGAGCTTATGAGAGGCAGCTTCGACTATAACTGGGAAATGTCTGATGATGCGGTTTATTTTGATTGTTTAAGGTCTACAAGGATCTTTCAGGGAGGAGATTTACCAGAATTGGGCACCGTCCTCAATGGGACAAAATGTGGAGACGAAATGGTTAGTATGGCTTTTCAAAAGAAGATGTGTTTCAATACTGGTAGTAGACAATTTATAAAAGCAAGCATATTATACTAAATCTCTTATTTATAGCCATTCGTCTACTGTATATATCGCTCTCAGAGCTGTCAGTTGACTAATATCTCCTGTAAGAAAGTGCTTTAATAGGGGAAGAGTAGCCCACATGCATATGCACTGTCTTTTGTCAACAGCATTGACTTTGCTTGCTGCATGGCTTTTCTGTTGTAGGTTTGTTACAACAATGAGTGTGTGTCACTTTCAGTTGCCTCTGCTGGACAACCAACATGTGCAAATAACTGCAACGGAAATGGGGTAAATTTTAACAGTCACCTCATACCTTTGATGTTGGGCATATTGGCAATTTAACTTTCGTGTTCACTTTCAACAGGTCTGTAATGAAAACGGCAACTGTCACTGCAATCCAGGATGGAAATGTCCAGATTGTTCGCAACCGTACAATGGTCCAGGTGGAAGCATTGACAGTGGTCTCAATTGTGAGGCTGTTACAACAACAACAGCAGCACCAACACCAGCGACAACCATACTAGCAACAACAACGCCAGCAACAACAATTCAAGCCCCAAGTATGTTTTTACGTTATCAGTTAAATATTTATCATATATAAATGTATTTCGTGTTTTGTTTTATCAATATTTACAGTAATTTCGTTGAGGTGACAATAGTTTTGATCATTTAGTCATGGAAAATGCGCTATAGAAGTTTTTAATTTCAATTACAATTACAATTTTGCTGCTGGGAATCTTGTCGCTAGATCCTGCACGACCACCAAATGCTTTGACAATGGCATTGGTCCAAATAAGTCGACTGCTACCGTATCCCAGAATTTTTCTGGGACTTGGTGTGGCTTAATTGGTTCTTTGGTCTTCTTATCTACCAGCATAGTGCAGATGTTTGATTGTTTTAGATAGACCATTTTTTTCATCGGCAACAGACGCGTTAGACACTTTAGGCTGGACCACTCTTGAACAACGCAGATTGTATCATAGATGTTTATTTGTTTTTAAGTGTCTAAATAATCATACCTCACATGGATTTGAACTTCTAGCGAACAGAGAAATACACAACTACAATACGCGCTATAAGGACAATTTAAGGCCATGCCTAAAGTATCAAGGAATTGGGGAAAGCAAAGACTCGCTTATCAGGCCATAACAGACTGGAACAACTTGGACAGAAAGATAAAACTATCTACTAGTATTTCTACATTTAAGAGAAACTTTTTTAGCAATCTTTGAACTTTCCCTCGTATAATTTTTTAATATTTTTCATAGTTATGTAGTATATGCATGTCTTCCGTGTAAATTTATAGTATATTTAGTTCAGGACCTTTCTGAAAATCATATGCACTTTGTGAGAAAGCTTCCTGAAATTAAATATTAATTAAAAAAAAAAGAAAAAAAAAAGACGTCGCATGAATTTACAAACTCCTCCACTTTCTTATTCATATCTTGGAAGAAGAAGTGTTATCTAAGAGCGATCCGTATTGCTATCTCTTGGAGTTTCTTTGGTGAAAAGATTCTTTCGTCTTTCAATATTATACCATTTCCTGTGATCGAAAGCTGTGGCCAGGGGCGCCGGAAGCAATGTGAAGCAGCGGGGACAGCCATTTCAAAAGGGCACTTCATTTTTCTGGGCAGCAATATTTGTAGTTTATTTGTTAAAACTTTACTGTATGACTCGATTACTTGTGGCTATTATGGGTCAGCAAACTTCGACATTAATTTTGAACAATTTTATTCGTTGCCCCGTGCCAAAGGGGCAAAATAAATCAGTAAACGAACGTATATTGCTTGATTTAGCATTAATTTTACTACAACTGGTTAACTGTTATGCTGTCAACTGTTATGCTGTCAACTGTTATGCTATACAGTCCGATCTGCGTTTGTGCACAAAGGATCAAGCCCTCTTTTTATTATACAAACAGCAGTTTATTTACGTTTTTATTTCATTTTATGTTCTTGCAAAGCTTGATTGTTGTGTCTTGATAATTTATCATACTCTAAAATCATGAAAATATAAATAGTTTTCGAATAAAATTCTATATTTTGCAAACAATGCCTTTGGCTTTGTTTACATACGGACTGTACCGCATAAAGATGCGGTAAAACCCCCCCCAAAAAGAACAAAACATAAACATAAACATTGCTTAAAAATCGTTCTAAATTCCAGTTCCTGTGAATAATGCACAAATTTCGAGGTGCAGTTCTGGCAAAAAGGGCAACTCGTTGCCCCCGTAATGTTTGGGCAACGGGGGCAGTTTCCCCCGCTGCCCCCGTGGCTCCGGCGCCCCTGGCTGTGGCAAGATACTCTTGAAACACTGAGCGTCAGCTGGTTCCGTTTCTGGATCCAAGTCAATCCTTGATTTATGATCTGCCTATCTTTATAAAGGTTAGGTCTTTTATCGTAGCCTGTGTGATTCTTGCGATGTCCATTAAGTAAAAAATAATTTAGGTTTCCGCTTCCTGTCTTTTCGAGCGGCTTTGCATGTCGTGATAGGTAATCGGACTGGACTGGTTGCTTTTTCCATGCTGGTATGTAACAGTGAATCGTATATACCAGTGTCTCAGTTTGTCGGTTTTCGGTTCGATTGGATCCTTGCCGCTTGCCTTTAAAAATTGAGCAAAAAAAATTGAGCCTAAAAAATTTCCATTAAAAATTGAGCACTAATATAATTTATAATATAGCATTCGTAAATTCTGAACGCTGATTGCATGGTTAAGAGCCGCTTGATATAACTCAATGTCAACACAGAAACGTTGGAAAATTTCTTTCTTTATATTTCTTTGTGCTATATTATAAAACAAATATAAAACATTTTTTCCGTATTGATATATAGTTATATCAACACTCGTGGAAATTGTGAAAACTCAAAATTGTGTGAAAACACTCCGCCCTTCGGGCGTCGTGTTTCCACACAATTTCTCGTTTTCCCAATTTCCACTCGCGTTGATATAACTGTATATCAACACGGAAAATGTTTTATGTTTGTTAAATAATACACAAGTGAATCTACATAGATAAAAACTATTACAATGTAATATATCTAAATCACCTAATATGCTAAGGCAATACCGTCAACAGTATGGTCTGCATTGAAAATCTACCATACAACAATGAATACATTATAGTGTATGAGTTAAAAGGTGGGTGAGCCGAAACCTTAAAACCACGCATCGTGCAATCAAGCAGCTGGTATATGTCTACATATGAAATTAACTACCCCTATGACTAGAACATCTACGATACAATGACCAAGAACAGGTCATGTTAACATTAAAAATTGTAGTTAATAAATGTAAGAAAACCTTGGATAATAATGTTTTAAACGAGGTCAGAGTCAGACTGTGAAGATCTCTAGGTGTAGCTATCTTTACAAATACAATTCCAATTCTGTTGAAGAAGGACGGCTGAAAAGTATACTAGTGGTTTTACATGATGGAACTTTAAACAGAGAAGGGTTATTGCAATTACGGGTACGACTATGACTGAAAAATGGCACAAAATTTAAAATATTCAAATCGTAAATGCCATCCAAAGTTTTAAAGAAAAAAGTCAAATCCTTTATCTCTCTAGCATACGCTAAAGATAAAAGATTTAAGGCAAGTAGTTGATCTTTACAGTCCATTTCACCTTTCTTCAATTGAAGGATCCACCTTGACGGGCACCTTCTATTGATCTACTAGTTGTACTTTGGTTGAACAACCAACAATGTAGTTCCGAAATCTTCTCAAGGCAAAGTCGATGCCGAGTGCTTCTAGGTCAATTTGCAGATATCTCTGTTCCGATGCGTTCGTTGCTCTTGATGCCATTGCCACCGGTCTTGCATTCTGGACGCTGTCCCACTATAGTACTATATATACCAACAATTTGCTCCGAGACCTGTCTTATCGGCATCGGTGATTATGAATATTTGTTTATACCCATATCGAAATATTGGAGTTGTGTGTTCTTTTTGAATCCTTCCATCAGGGCTTCGTATGCGGCTTGATGTTCTGCAGAGGCCATACAAGTAGAGTGATTTTTTTGGACATCTCGCACAATTTCACTGCCTGTTGTGCGAAATTTGGGATAAAATCTGCGTTCGACTGCATTGTACACAAAAAGCTGACCAAATCATTTTATTTCGGCGATGTAGATAAGGGCACCACTTTTAGAACTGATACCTGGTCCCCAGAATTCAATTTCGGATACTCCAGAAGTGCATTTGCTTTGGTTGAGAGTTATGCCGGCACTGGATATGACTTTCATGACTTTTTTTATTGCTTTGTCATGTTCGGCATCGTCCTTTCTTGCCACGATAAGGTCGCTATGCATGAGATGCGCTTGCGGAATATTGGAAAATAAAATTAAGCTCCCCTCGATTTAAAATCCATCTTCGAAAATACTTTGGCAGCGCTGAGTTTGCCTTCGATATCTTCTTGTCTTGGAATAGGTAAATTTGACGCCTGTATGGGGATGGCCTTATTGACCGATTACGTGCATCAAGCGTCATGCGTATACCTTTGTCATGTTTTGGCACAATTCCGCGTTGAAGACCTACGGTGCTGTTTCTGTAGGGGGATGTTCCTCGATTACGTCTTGATCCACCATTTATTCGATATTAGGATGTCAGGGTTTGTGATCCAAGTGAGAATATATATATTTTAAGACCTAACCAGGAACGACTGCGAAAAATGCAGCACAAGGTTCTCTGGTAGGAATTGAACCCACGGCCCTGCGATTCCGGTGCAGCGCTCTAACCAACTGAGCTACAGAGGCCAGCTGTTGAGCTGTAACCGTAACAACATGCTGTTTAGATTCGTGATTTTTCAGCATCTTATACGTCCGTGTATTATTAAAGATTAGTATAATTACATAGGTGATTATTGAAAATTCTCCACGCTGATTGGTTGCCGTTAAGGTGATTATTACGCGATAATCACCTACGCGATTTTCAAAATGGCGATCGAAGCCGTTTTGTCAATTAAATGACGAAGAAATGTGCATTTTAAAATTTGTTTCCAAATAATCACCTATGAAATTATACTAAAACAATTATTCACCTCAGGCTCGGTGATTATCGTGAATAAAAACCTCGACTTCGTCTCGGTTTTTATTCACCGATAATCACCTCGCCTTCGGCGAATAATTGTTAAATAAAAGCATAGCCAAGTGTATACGTAAAGTATACCGCTATCAAAAAAACAAACAGCACTCACAGCACTTAACATGCAGGCTTACAGTACGTAACTTTACTACTTTACTAAACTGTCTAAAGCATATAATTCACTCGACAACATGCTTGCAAAGAACGCACTGTTTTAAATAGTTAGTAAACAATTAAACATAATTAAAAAAGATAGTAAACATGATTAAAAACGTCGCGAGGAAATATTTTGTAAATGTTCATTAATCTTTATTCATGTTTTATCTTTAGGTTACTTGGTTTTGGCCGGGTAAACAACGTTGATGACTCGGCCTTTATCTTAATTTACAAATCTTAAAATACAAAAAGCTTGTCCTTTCGTATTAAACATGTTCTTTTCTTTGTGTTCTTTCGCGCCAAAAAGCACGACAACGTACGAACGTTTCCGATCTGTACACGCGCGTGTGTCCACGCAACGCGAGCACTTACATGGCTCCCCTAAATTCGAAATTCGAATTTACTAAATATAAACAACAATAACATGAACTTAACGTTTATCAGCAATGTCTGTATCATTTGTCATCAGGCTCTTCGGCGGGGATTCCCGGTCTTTCTCCTTGGATCAACAGTATCAACTTGTGGACTGGACGTTCCAGGCTAACGAGAGGCTTCTCTCTTCTTCCTTGCTTCGTGAGTCTCCGCTCGCCGACCATCAACTTTACTTTTCGAACTAGGCCATTTTCGTCTTTCTCAGCATTCACTACGCGAGCTAATGGCCAACAGTTTCGGGATGATTCTTCTTCAGCGACGATAACAATATCTCCGACTTCGAGATTCTGTTTCGGTTTGAGCCATCTTTGGCGTTCTTGCAGGGAATGCAGAAATTCTTTTCTCCAACGCGACCAAAACTCATTGCATAGATGTTGAACTCTTCGCCAATGCTTACGTAGATACATTTCTTCTTTCTGAAACACTCCTGGTGGGGGAAGAAGAACCTTCCTCTTCATCGTAAGCAGATGATTGGGTGTTAACGGCTCTAAACTGTCCGGTAAACCGAGATTGTCAACACTAAGCGGACGACTATTGACGATAGATTCCGCTTCGCACATGAAGGTAAGAAGCGATTCATCGTTCAATTGACTGCCATTTTGGTATAGAAGAACATTTAAGACATTCCGAACTGTCCTGATTTGTCTCTCCCAAATTCCTCCCATATGGCTGGCTTTCGGGACGTTGAACTTGAATTGAAACCAATCGCAACTTTCTTTTAGCAATTCCTCTTTAATCTTATCGTGATTCATTTCTTTCAAACACTTCTGCAATTCCGTACTGGCGCCTACAAAGTTCGTTCCACGATCACAACGCAGTTCTCGCACGGGTCCTCGTCTGGAGACAAATCGTCGAAAGGCGTTTAGAAACGAGTCTGTTTCTAGAGTGTGAGAAACTTCTAGATGAATAGCTCTTGAGGCTAAACACGTGAACAATACACCGTATCGTTTTAATTCTTTCCGGCCTTGCTTTACGTAGAATGGTCCAAAATAGTCGACCGCACTGTATGTGAATGGTGGTGAGGTCTCAACCCGTTCTTTCGGAAGATCTGCCATTTTCTGATCTTTGACACTCGCTCGAAATCTTTGACAAACGGCGCAATCTTTGATAAGTTTAGCTACAACATCTTTACAACCGACGATCCAATATCCTGAAGCACGTATCGTATTCCAAGTTATCCCTCGTCCTTGATGATCAATCTTCTGGTGAAAATGTTTTGCTATCAGCTTCGAAACGTGAGCTCTCTTTGGTAAGACTACCGGATGCTTGATATTAGCGTCCATACTAGATCTTCGAATTCTTCCTCCTACTCGTATAACTCCATGTTCGTCCATAAAGGGATCGAGTTTAGCAATCGGGCTAGTTCTAGCTACCGTATTTCGCCGTCGTTGAGTTTCCGGTACATTGACTTTGGGTTTTGACTTTAACGAGCTTATCTCCTGTTTGAATTCTTCTTTCTGCAGTGCCTTGATTATTTCCCGTTCAGCAGCAGTCATTTCTTCCACAGTAACAGCTTGGTCAGGTTTCATAACAGTTGCTGCTTTCTCAATGTTCTCGACATCCTTTTCCTCCCTTTTCTTACGTACCCTTTGACGTAACAATCTGCGATAACGAAGACAAATAGCGATGGCCTTCTTGGCTCGGTGCCAACTCGAAAAGTATTCTAATCTCTCTACCACGTCCGTGAATTTTTTCACAGATGTTGCAAAGGTTGTGACTTTCTTTACTTCGACATCATCTGTTTCCAGCTTTGCTTTGTCATCCGGTTGGTTAAAATGATTCCAATCTTGGTGAGCTTCGTATAGAAATGACGGACCGTTTATCCACTTCGAATCGCTCACAATATCACA